AGATGTGTATTATTTATTCTAGTAAAATGTGTTTTGTTTTTATTTATTCAAATAAATGATCTTTTAGTCAACCAATTTCGTATTAACATATGATTTTTTAAAATTTCTTGACACCAATGATGAAGGAATTACATATTTCTTTTTTGAGTAAATTTCCAAAGGAATTCAAGAAAAAAAGATTAAGCCTTTAAGTTAGTCTTCAAACTCAACTCAGTAATAATACATCAGATTTCATTTATCATTCATGTTTCATTTATCTAGAATAGAGCACTTATCTAACTTAGCTAATCAAAAAAAAAACACTTATATTATATAAATGTAGTTAATATCAACGGCAAATCAATGGTACCACAAAAATTATATCTGATTTACAGTGTTTTACAATTGTAAAGTCATTAATTACTGTTCTGATATTCGATACATACTGAAGAAATGAACGTATGATGAGGATGTGTGTGAGTGTGTGGTGTGGATATGGGTATGGGGTGTGGGTATGGGTGTGACAGAAGAGGAAATCCACCCACACCCACACTCACACCCCATACCCACACCTCATACCCACATCAAACCCACACCACAGCCACATCCCACACCCACCCACACCCACACCCTCATAATACTTTTGTAAGCCATTGTGGATTTTCAAAAATGTATCGAATACTTGAATCCTGGTGTGGAGAAAACACTTCTAAACGAACTATAAATAATGAAGAAAAGAATAACTGATGCAACATGGAGTGCTTGCATGGTGAAAACGAATAGTCTATGGTCGTAATTTCACTCATTCTGTTGATTGCAAGGATTCATTTTTTTTTGCGTTCTCTATTATTGTCGTCAGATGTGCAAATGTCGACTGGATGCAAGGCATGCGGTATTTGATAAGTAAATGCCTTCTTTTACCCATAGCTTTTTCTTTTCTGTCGTTTGAGCTTTATAGAAGATGGTAGTTTCTCATTGAAACCGCTTGTACTACTTAAAATAATTTTTAACGATATTTTTCTTATGAATATAAGCTATCAATACCTCTTTATAAGTGGTAAAAAACTACTATATTGCCTCAAAAGGTGGGTACTACATTCTGGCTTGAGAAAGATCGTATCGACATATCATGTGTTGGTTAATAGTCTTGTATTCATATTTTTTTACTTTCTGTTTGGTGACACCTAAATAAACATAGTGGAAGAACGGCAAAAATACTCCCAGTCCTGTCTCAACCATTGTCAACGTTTGCAATATATTGCACGGACACGCACTCGTACTCGCACTCGCACTCGCACTTGCACTCGCACTCGTACTCGAGAAAGTTCGTTCTTGCCCGCCTCTGCTTGAACCAAGATAGTCATACTTAAGTAATTGTCATTCTCTTATTTTCTTCTCATACATTTACCTTTATTTATAATGCAATTCAACGCGTGAGTCGCGATGCAATATTCTATTTGGGTATGGTCTTTGTTTATCATAGCAACTATTCTCGGAAAAAATGTCGATGTTAATATTTATGGTACAACGGCCGATGGATGGGAATATATTCGAGATTTTCTCAAGGAAAATCTTGAAGAACAACGAGATTTAGGTGCGTCAGTGGCAATTTATCATCAAGGAAAATTAGTTGTTGATCTATGGGGTGGATGGTTCGATCAAACTCAAATGAAACCATATGATAATGATACATTACAATTGGTATTTTCAACATCGAAAGGTTTAGTAGCTGTAGCACTTGCACTTTGTGTTCAACGAGGTCTACTCGATTATTCAGCATTGGTCACAAAATATTGGCCAGAGTATGGACAGAATGGAAAAGAAAATACAACTGTAGCCGATATTCTTTCACATCGTGCTGGACTACCTTTGGATTTTTCACCATTTGAACAATATTTTAATTGGACAGCAATGATACATAAATTAGAGCAAGCACATCCAATGTGGCCGCCTGGTACAGCTCATAGTTATCATAGTCTGACATATGGTTGGCTAACAGGTGAATTAGTTCGACGTGTTGATCCGATGAAAAGAACTTTGGGACAATTTATTCGTGATGAAATTGCAAATCGTCTCAATATCGAATTTTATATTGGTTTACCATCTGAACAAGAATATCGTGTCTCACCGTTAGATTTCAAATCAATTGAAAACGGAACATACAATCAGTCATCAATTAATAACTATGATGTATTGAATAACCAGAGTGCACATCAAGCCGAAATTCCTGCTATAAATGGAATAACCGATGCTCGATCGGTAGCAAGACTCTATGCATCGTTAATTGGTGATTTAGACAATAATAAATATCAACGACTGTTAACCAAAGAAATCTTAGAACAAGCAACGAAATCGAACACACCTGAGGGTGAACTAGATTTTTTATTAAAACTTCCTTCTAGATTTAGTATGGGCTTCATGCTAATGGATGCAGTTTTTCCATCATTAGATCCTGATGTCTTTGGTCACAGTGGTAAGTAGAACTATTTAAATTCATTTTTGAATTGAAATTTATTGTCTTTCAATTTGTAGGAGCTGGAGGAAGTACTGGTTTTGTTGCACCTGCAAAAAATTTTTCATTTGCCTATGTTATAAATCGAATGAATAACTTAGCAATCGACACTGATCCTCGATATAAATCAATGTTATATAAAATTGCAACTATGATCAATAGTAACAACACAAGTGTTGGTACAAGACTCTCTCCATATCTCTTATTTTTCTGTACGGTTCTGTTCTCTATCAACTTTACTCATAAATAGATGCGTGGTGTGAATCAATCACACTGTTCATTGACAAAGACTTCAATTATTATTTTGTATTTTTTATGATTTTTAATAAAAGAAACCTTTTTATAATTAGGTTTATCTCTATCAACGACTTCATGTTCCTCGATCCAGTTTTGATATAGTTAGAAGGTAATTTGAATGTGACTTTCTTAGCCTTCCACTAGGCCACAATTTGTTCGATGGCATCTGGAACAGAATGATACTCTTTTTCAGAAGAGAAAAAAAAATCAAATAATTAACAATCTTATATGAAGTTTTACAGCAAGCAAACCTGTAGAAAATGATTATAAACTGAGAAATATAATCGTTTGTTTTTTTCCGTGGCACGGTGTTTCCGTGCACGACATTTCCGCGCCGACACTTCCGCGCCGACATTTCCGCGCACGACACTTTCGCGCAGCAACACTACCGCGCGCGACACTTCCGCGCAAATGAATTTTTTCTCTTCTGTTTATGTTGAGCTAATGCTAGAGGAATCACCTGGATTGCTATAGGAATTATCTGGGATGTTACGGAAATCACCTATGATGCTACAGGGATCATCTATGATACTGGAAGGATCGCCTGGGATGCTAGAGGGATCGCCTTGGATGCTAGTGGGATCACCTGAGATGCTAGAGGGATCGCCTGAGATGCTAGGGTATCACCTGAAATGCTAGTGGATTGCCTGAGATGCTATATGCATCTCCTATCATACTAAACGCATCCATTGGTGACGCTTGTAGAATCCCAGATGACCCCTCCAGTAGCTCAGACGATCCGTCTAGCATCCCAGGCGATGCATCTAGTATCTCGGGCGATGATTCTAGTATCCAGAGCAATGCCTCTAGTATCTCGGGCGATGTATGCAGCATTCCAGATGATCCTTCCAGCATCCTAGGTGGTCCCTGTAGTGTTCCCGATGAGCTTACCAGCAGTTCAAGTGATCGCTCTGGCATCCCAGGCGATGCCTCTAGCATCTTAGATGATCCCTCCAGTATCATAGACGATCGCTCTAGCATCCCAGATGATTCCTTTAGCAACCCAGGTGAGCATTCTAGCATCTCAGGTGATCCCACCGATATCATAGATGATCTCTCTAGCATCCCAGGTGATTCGTCCAGCATTAACCCAACACAAACAGACGAGAAAAACTTCATTTGCGCGGAAGTATCGCGCGCGGTAGTGTTGCTGCGCGGAAGTGTCGCGCGCGGTAGTGTTGCTGCGCGAAAGTGTCGCGCGCGGAAAAGTCGGCGCGGATATGTCGTGCGCGGAAACGTCGGTGAACCGTTTTTTTCAAATCTGTTAAGAAAGATAGATGCACTGATTGATCTAATACTTTTAATAAGTATCTTCGTCGACCAATACTAGTTGAATACAGTTGAGATTCCTCTAACTTCGATGATGCATTCGTACAATACCAATATACCACACTAAAAACAGTCTTCAGAAAATTAATGTCAAATTTCGGAAAGAAATATTATATGTATAAATTTCCATTGCATATTTAACATCAGTTGGAAAAGAAAATATATGCTCAACACTTCAATAAAACGTCGACTATCTTGAGGGGTGGAGAGTGAGTCAAGCACACCAAAATCGCGATTTCCACCTTGCTTAAGGATCTCATCAGTTGGCTTTGTATAAGATAAGTGATCCAATGAAGAATCAATTCAGTAATATACAAGATTTATCATTGTTACAAGATATGCAATGGTGAGGGTGAGTAAAGCAAACCAAGATCCAGATTCCGTCCTTGCTAAAGGAACTCGTCAGTTGGTTTTAACTCTATGGTATTCATTCAATGATTCTTTTATTTATGGAGTTTTTATTGAAGTTGAATATGTGTCTGTTTTCTTTAGAATTTAGGAAAAGTATTATCTTCAGACATTTAGGGTTATTTCTGTCATGTATTTCTTATTATGAATAGAAAATAGATGGATTTTTAGTAACATACAGAAAAAGAAAAAGGTTATAATGTTTTGAAGTTTAACATAGAACTTTCTAATTATTTTTAGTTGGATTTTGTGCATTGTTTCGTTTTTTGATTTGTTTTGGTACATAAGAACTTCCACCGACCAATACTTTTGTCCGACTCGGATTGTTTCGAGTGCCTACAATGAGTTTTGTTTCCATCACTGGTGTTTCTTGAAATACATCGTACCACTTTCCATGAATCATTGATTTGTAGTTAGCGAAACGTTGCTCGTGTGTGTAATGGATAATTAATGGCTTTAATGAATTGGATCGTTTTTGTCGCTTTGAGGGTGAGAGTGAGTCAAGCTACTATGGCCGGTTTCGTCCGGAGTAAGACGATGGTTAGATATCAAATTGATTCTTGATCGTATTAGAAATAACAGGATATGAATTAGTCTAAATATTGGTTTGTCGTCAATTGTGCAGTAGTGGAATAATATGATGGGAAAATATGAAAGTTGTTGATTCAGATAGTTTTTTGTTTAAAGTTATTAGAATAGTTGCGATTGGAATTTGTATAATAATAATTATGTTTTTCAATGTGAAATGGAATGAAAGAGAGGTTGTATTGGAAAATGAATAACGATTAAAAGGAGAATGAATGAAATGGTGGTTTTTATTAAATAATATTTTGTGAAATGCTAGCTGATTTTCTACTGTATGATAGGGTTGAAAAAAATTGAAAGGAACACAAGGAAGAGGTTGCTAGATCAAGTTTTGAATTCTTTGATGATGTCTGATCAGTAATAGATTATAGCCATGAGCTGTTTATAAATTTTGATGATTGATGTTAAATTCATTGAACGATTAATTTGAAATATTGTTTTTATTTGATTTTTCTCGGCCTTTCTATTAATTAGAAAAGAACAAGTAATTAATTGATGAAATATATTTATATTTGGGTTATTTCGACAATGACTTACTTTTAATTGGTTTATCTTGTAGTATTGATTTTTTAGGTCGTTTACATATGAATTCATGTTTTGCACTTCGACGATTATAACTGCCAAAAATCACCTTTATATCGATACCATCGGATTTTTTGAAAATAGTTTCGAAGATTCGATGCATATCACGTTTGAATGGTTCAAAACGTTTTTCATGTTTATAATGTAGGATTAATCTATTTTCATTGTTTTTGATTGTATCCGTTGTTTTCTTTGTTGTTTGTTGACTCATTAATTTATCATAGAGGAGAAAATATTGTTTTTCATTATCGATTTATGGTAAAAAAGACGAGGATGATAAATACTGAGAAGAAAATTTTTGAAACTCTTTATCAATAAATGAAGATGGATAACTGAAATATATGTCAGTAATGTAAAGTAAAGTTTGTAACTAGATTTTGTATTAAACCCCTCCCCGCAATAGAAGGCCCCCCCGTATTACAAGGCCCCCCCTTATTAGAAGGCCCCCCAAAAAGTTCTGAATGATCGCCTTAATAGAAGGCCCGGGCCTTATATTAAGGCTATGATTCTACTTCGATACCGGCGAACCTGGAAAACACTCACGTAAACTTTGACGCGAGAAGTTCTTTTATACCTCAAAAGCTTTCAAATAGTGTGTATCTGTCCCTGTGAATAGGGGACCGTTCATTTGGCATACAGAGTATCCGCATTTTGGTTCCATTTTTGTCGAAATTCCTACGACTTGGGAAGCTCAGCAAAAAAACAATTTTATCCGCTTAATTATGAACGTCTCGGATAGTCAAAACTGAAGGAATTATGGAAAATAACTGAACATCAAGTTTTGGTAATTTATCAATGTACAAAAATCTTTTTCACGTGAATGGTAAGATTTCGTCATTTTTGCGAAAAAAAGACTACCTATTGGAAAATTAGACGTCTTTTCGACAATGTATATCATAGATTCCTAATAGAAGGCCCCCCTAAATAGAAGGCCCCCCTAAATAGAAGGCCCCCCTAAAAATTTTGTTTGCTCCGCCATTATAGAAGGCCCCGGGCCTTTTAATGCGGGGGGGGGGTTTATACTAATGACTTACCCATTATATAAGAGCATAAATTCAATATAACGTTGTTCGTTTTGAAAGGCTTCAAATGTAGATGAATATCGAACTGCTCGTGCAAGTGAACTTTGTATTATATTTCCGAAAACATGTTGAGGATGATCCGATGTAAATGGTATAAAAGAAGGTTCTGTAGCTATTTATGGTAAACACATGTGGATAGAATACTATTCTTATTGGTGAGAAGAACATCAAGAAATGATAAATTTTTGCCAATTTCATAATCTAATTTAATATTTGGATGCCATATATTTGCATCTCCTAATAATTTCATCAATTCTTTTTCCGATCTATTCCATGTGATAGAAACATCATCAATATATCTAATTATATAAATTATTGTTTAAAACAACAACCATTTCTCTTTTTTTTTCTAACACTTACCGACCAAAAATTCACCTGTTTTCTCTTGTTGATCAACCAATTTTTGTTGCCAATTCCACATGAGAATATTGGCTAAAGTTAATGTAAATGATGAACTCATAGCACTAGCAAGAATTTGTTGATAGATTTTATTACCATAGGCAAAGACATTTTCTTTTAATACTATTGTAGCTAATTCGCCTATTGTATTAAGATAAATTTTAACAACTTTCGTATATCCATAATGTTGAAGAAATTCAGTCAGAATTTTTAATGCTTCATCTTGTGGTAACATAGTATACAAATTACGTATATCAAAGGTACAAAAAAGAGTTGACGATTTAAAAAGACCTTTATTAATATATGTTTTCAATTGATTAATTAAAGAAGTGCCACTAATAATTGTTGTTATACTACATTTCTCATCGAATATAGGCCGTATTAATTGATCGAAAAAGTCGGAAATATTTTTTGTTGGTGAATGAATTGTATTTTCAATGGGTCGTACTGGAATATCATCCTAAATTATTATCATCGAGAGAATAAGAATGTGGATAATAATCACATAAAATTATACCTTATGTGTTTTAGGATTAAAATATAAATGTGATAATTCCGCTTTATTTCAATCAGGTGTCATTTTTTTACATAGCCATCGTAAAATGAATTTATCCGCCACAAGTTTATTAAGAAATTGGCAGAATTTATTTAAAATTTCTTTGAAAGGATTGTTCGATAATTCAATAAAAGCATTTGTATCTTTGAAATATTTTTGTACTTCTTCTTCAAAATCAGTTGCTGAACCAAATATAAAAATGATTACCCTTATCAGCCAGATGAACAATAAGTTTGTGTTTTTTAATTATTTCTCGAATCGATGCAATAATTTGGGCTTGTTCTTGAGCTCGAATTTGATTCTTATATGGTAGAGGAATAAAATAACAATGATTGACATAATTGAGAAGTTTCTCTGAATATGTTTTAAACGAAACATTTGTCATTCGTATACAATATGGTTTAGCCATAAGATGATTTTGTACTTGTTTAAAAATTTCGTCATGTAATTTTTCAATTTCGACTTTTTTGTTGTTTATGTAGACGTGTAGCACTTTGATTTAATCTGATATAAGATGGACCTAAAGAAAACAAAATTATTATCAATAATTTACAGTATCTAGGCAAAAAAAAATTAAAGAACAGTATTACCAAGTGAAAGATAGTTCCATTGACGTTTATCAAATCGATTTGAAATTAAATCAAGATATGATTCAGGTGAGACACCAATCCTATTTGTTTCTGTTGATGATAATAAACGTTGACGATCGTGACATAATTTCATTGGTACAACAGAAGACATTTGCTTCTCAATACTATCTTTTAATTTATTTGTTTCATTCGTCATATAATCTTTAGTTTGATTTATGAGAGTTAAATTATCGTTGTTGTTGTTTGTCGCAGTATTATAATTCATTATTTATGTTTCTAATTGTTGAAATTGATGTCGATATCCTTGATCATAGATTTGTATTTTATGTATACAAGCATGTAAATAAAGATTTAAGTATGAACATTTTGCTTCTTGTATAATTTTAAAGCGTTGATTCATTATTTGAATAGTTTTTTGATTGTTATTCAATGGTAAATAATCAATGGATCCAATAAAACTTTCTAAATAAGCAAAATTTTGGGATGAAAATTTGCAGAGAATTCGCATCCTTAGCATCAATAATTCTTTCCAAATTTCTCCTTGTTGTTGTCATATAGTAATTAATCGATGAATAATTTCATTCTAAAAGATAGAGAGAAAGATCGAAGAAAATATTTCATTTGTTATTTAAAATATGTTTCTATTTTTATTTGATTAGTATTCATTGTAGATAGTGGTATAATTTTAAATAAAACATTTTCATGTATCTGATCTTTAAATTTAATTAATTGCTGTTTATTTCTCATTGTTAAATATTTTCGTTCACTATGAACATATTCTTTAAGACAAGAATTGATTTGATCAAATGATATTGTTGCAATTGGACATAATTGAGATTGCTGTTTTATTAATTCTAATTCACATTGGTTCAATTATTTTTTATAAGGTCTAAATAATTGCGAAGATATTGTTGACATAATTCAAAATTATCTGTTTTAGCCATTTGATAGAGTTGGTCCTTTATTTATTTCAAAATAAAAACAAGTAATTATCTGTGAATGACTCCTACAAGCAAACAAACAAAAAATACTTACTGGCCATCGATATTGTTGTGGGTGGGTGTGGGTGGGTGTGGGTGTAGGTGTGGGTGTGATGTGGCTGAAGAAGAAATCCACCCACACTCACACCCCACCCACACCCACCCACACATCACACCCACATCCATATCCACACGCACACCCCACACCCCACACCTACGTCACACCCACACTCACATCCACCCACACTCACACCTACACTCACACTCGCACCTTAGTTCGAAGGATCTATGCTTTGAAGTAACATTCTAATTGTCTACAGCACTCGTTGGAAAAGTATAAGAAATGTCAATACTTTTAGCGAAACAAGCAT